GATTGTCCATCCTACACCATGACACACACTCTATTTAACATGCCTATTCCTCTTGAGCCTCGTAAGCTGGTTCCCACATTTACGACACATAAAGGATTAATCAAGCTTATATACATCCAGGATGTGTCAGACAGAACATTTCTATATGCTTGTGTAGTAAGAACAGCTCCGCCAGAACCACCTTGTACAGAGAAGAGTCTGTGCCCTTTCAAGAAACAAAAGGAAAAGGTCAAATGCTTGTCTATTTGGATGATCAGAACACACTAAGTATATCCCCAATTTTCAAAATCATAGGATTGGTTTAAAAGGTGTGACACTTAAGAAAATAATAATATAGGATTGATCTTCTGCCTAATGATTTTCCAAAACTTTGCTTCTTCATCTTTGACCCGTCATCTTAGAATAAGGAAATCTGCTTTATTTAAAAAATAAAAAATTCACATGATCCAGGAGTGAGGCTTTAGAGAAACGCCTGCCAAATACGTTGACAACTCAAAAAAAGGTTTTAGTTTGGGTCTTCTGCTTCAAAGCAGTTTCAGTTTTGCTTTTCATATGTTTATCCAGCACATTAAATATGAAATGAATCCCATACTCTTTCTCCTAAATATGTATATTGTCCTTCATCATGGGAAACTGAAATATATGATATTTGAAAGAAACTCAAGTACCAACTGATTAGACTCAATTTACTACATTAATCAAATGCAACTTCAGTTTTCAGCTGTAAACCCAATCCTGTTAGCATCCAGCAGTAGTTTCCCAGATATACGCTCTGTATTAAAAGTATATATACTTGTATACATCCATATGTCCAGGGTTTCAGTACATTGGACCAAATTCTGCCTTGACTTACACTCCACTGACTTCAACAGAATTTCCTAGGACTATACATCGAGTAGGCAAAACTAGATCCATCACTGCTGCCCAGCCTACTGCCTTCTCATTCCTCATGGATTTTCCTTCCATTGGCCCCGTTCTTAAAGTCTTTGGCAGGTTAAGAGTTAAGCAAATTACTTGGAAACAATTTGTATTTACTGATCCTCATTCACTGTATAAATTACACAATGCAGTCATGCGAGGTAAAAGATGGACTTTTGCTAATATCTTAAATACTAATTAACAAGTAAGTTTTAAAGATACAGGCACCTTTATGACTCGTGTGCTTCCAAAACATTCTAAAACTTTGATGCAGCACGCAATCTTCTATCCCCTTCTGAGCAACTAATATTCATTTAAACACCACATTCGTGCCTGCTGTTTGCAAATTGATCCTTATGACTCCCACAAATTCAAGGCAGTTATGCCTTTAAATTCATCGGAATGCCACCGGATCTATTATTTGCATGACTTTCTGGCTGCATAAACAAAATATCAACTAACTGAATATACCAGGCATACAAAGCAACAGAATTCACAAAGTCACCTGTAATTAAGAGGTGGAAAAAGAGCTCCACTACCTTGTTAGGGGAAAATGATAGATACAACTGCAACTTCAAATAATTCACCCAGCAGAGGAGAAGTGCACAAATACACACAAAAGTCATCAGTTCCCAGTACAGATCTAATTAAATTTAGTCAGAACAATGAATTACAATATATTATGTCCTGTAACAACTATTGTATTTTCCTTCAGACTTAGCAAATTTAGTCTTTTTGCAGATCTTTTACTCACACAGGTGCAAATTTCTTGAATCTGATCAGCGCTGAGGTTTCCTATCTCACTAGGGAATCTTTGGCTTTTGTTTTGCACCCACCAGAAAGCTACACTCCTCTGCCACCTAGTGCTGTAAAGAAGTATATTTTATACCCACTGCCAGCTCTAGATGGCATAGTATGTTCAACAGGACAGATGAGGACTGTGCAGAAAACTTCCTCGCTAAAGGGGAGATTAAAGAGAAACTTAATTTATCAGCCTCTATGGATATCATAATTGATCACTGCCAGAGATCACCTCTATCTCTGCAGATCTTAATACGACAGAAAACTGTTTAGCAAGTTGCATCTTGTATTTTAGGACGTTATATCATCTTCCCAGTTCTTTCTAAAATTTAAAATAAAATAATTTTTACATAAAATCCTTGTCTAAGAAAAATATAATAAAATATAACATGTATTTAATCATATTAAATTTTCAGACAAAGAAAGAATGTCTTTTTCAACTACCAGCAGGTTCCCAATGTATCAAATGGAAATTTCTCTGAGGCATATAATTTTTGTTTCCAAAGGGATTCTGGAGGACAAAGTTTGTAACAACCAGCTTGTTTTTTGTCAAGTTTTAATTTACATTGTTTCAAAAAGTGTATGTTTTTATATTAGCACTATTGCAATTCATATTTCTTTCAAAACTACATAAAGCCAGGGTTTATTTCAAGTAACAGGCTACGCTACATGTTTTAAAGGAATTCTGCAAATTTTTTTATTTTTTCAAATGAAATGAGCTTCATATTTTCAGTGTTAATACAACAAAGCTATGAAAGTGAGCTTTCCTTCACTCTTCTTTTGAAGTAAAAGTCATTCAAACTAAACTGTTCTGACTCTCACTGAAGACAATTTATCAGAAAACTAACTGGTACTACATCACCTGCATATATGAATCTCCAGTATTTGTCAATTGTTTGCATTTTTTCTTTCAGAGACCATGAATACCAGACATTTCAGTGGTCATTTCTCCCCACATCACTCAGAAATCACTACGAACCATTATCAAGCATCCTCTCTTGTGTGGATTGCACAAAAGCAGTGTTAACAGTAGGCAGTATGGCTGTGAAATCAATCATTACCTGACCGTGACCTTGCACGTATCTTCAAATGCCTCATGCCGGCACAGCCTGATGTCACTCGTGTTTCCTAAGAACTCCATTTGTAAAGAACCTTCATGGCTTCATCGATACTATAATTCAATAAACTAATGCAATATACTGCCAATTACAATGATTACTCCACTAGCAGAAACCACATGTTCTCTCTCATGTTTAGAGAAAAATATTCTTTTTTTTTTTTCCTTAAATACCTCTGTATTTCTGAGAAACTAACCCATGACTCTCAACATCCCAGGCTAATTTCACTTATTTCTCTGCTGCAGAACCTTTGTAGAACGTAAATATGTAAAAAGCAATGAAGTCAGTAAGGTGTAACCGGTAGTATGTGGACAAAGAAACAAAAAAGCCTCATCTCTCCCTAAAATATATACACGCCTTCACCTCTGGACAATGTATCTATCCTTTTGCTTTGCTTGGCTAATCTCACCTCCAACATGTCAGTCTCATCTCACGCAGCTCTGGCAAAAGTAAGACTTCCACTCTGCCTCCTGTTTGCCTCCTTTTATTGGCTTCAGTTCTGAGTAAGTGAAAACAGATAGGACTGGAGTAAATCCTATTTGGACAAATGGAAAAGAACTTACATATTTGGTTGGATACTGTCAGCTAGATGGCATCAATCTACCCTTCATCAGCTCTCGTTATTCCCTTAGACTGTGGGGGCAACACAACATCTCTGCTAACATCTGTTGCTAACTGTGATGTTTCAGAACATGAAATCCAGAGCAAGGAAAGCAGAAGTGAATCATTGCAGCACACGAGCTGTAATGATTATTAATTAATAATGCTCCTTAAGCAGGCACAACTGGCTCAGTCACGTACAACAGCTGTTCTGGAAAGAGCAGTCCTGTGTCCTTTCGTATTCCTACTGTCCACATGGCTGCTTTTCTGACCCTGACCCCAAGCTACGAGGAGGTACTCACTAAAAGCCAAGCTGTTAAAAGCCAGGGAAAAGTTCTCTGTCAGCATAGCTCCCCAAACCAGGCCAGCACGGAAGCAGATACGCTCAAGTGCCGAGGAAACACAGGGGTGACCTAGCCAGGGTTAGAGGCAGGCTTGCAATTTTTTGGCAGCAAATAGCTCTTAGCCTGGCTGAGCCATAATATCAGACAGACCCGTTCGTGTACTGAAATCCCAACCTAAAATTGAAACGAGACTTAATCTTAAATGCAACGGTGCCAGTGTGGCTAAAACTGAAGTGAAAATCAACAGCTGGGTGCCAAAATCCACAGCTGGGTGCTGTAACTGCACTACTGAAGAGTATCAATGGACAGAAGAGGGCAGAGCTGCTCCCTCTGCAGAAGACCCAAGACAAGATGCCACTGCTGTGCTTTGAGGTTTTCCAAGCACGCTCTGATCACCCAGACTACTTAACAGCAAAGAATCCGGTTTTGATCCTTATCAGATTTCCAGTCATTACATTTAAATTCATTATTTCACTCAAGAAATCATGGTGCATTTTGGGACAGGGCAGGGGGGAAAAGCCTTTCAACATCCTTTTAAGACAGAAATCTATTTGTATAGTGACAACAGCAGAAACACTTCGCCTTCAGCCCAGTACAGAAAAGGTGCAAACACTTCACTGCAGCCACTGTTTTGCCCAAAACCAGGAATATCTCAAACAGCAGCACTGTAGAGAGATCCAGGCAGACTCTGTTAAGAGCCACGGAAATACGCAGATAACTGTTATCTTTCCTCGTAAATATCCTTTGTATCTAATCAGCATTGGTTTTGAAAGTGAGAGGTTTTTGGTTGTTTCCCAAAAGAGCAGCAGCCAAAAACAGAAAGCAGATTTCCCTAGGAAACTTAACATACTTTATTTTACATCTGTGAATGTTTTCCTTTTGTTAAAAAAAACCCAGTTATTTACAAAACCAGCACAGAACTCTAACATACAAATTATTTAGTGTACTGTATGCAAATGTCCAAACCCAAGGCAGATCCTGGTTTCTCTTTAGCTGTTAACTGCTGTGATGGATCACTGAGAAGCATTTCACGCTGCGTGCTACAGAAGCACCACCTGACTGCAACGTCATATGGCATGACACACGATTCAAGCAGGATTCCCAAAAGTTCATAGGTTCTCCGTATCAACGTCGAGTGAACAAAACAAGGAAAACATTCTTGAAAAACATGATCTTTCTTGCTGTAGCAACTGTTTTTGTTAGCATTAGTTCTACAGCATCAATTTTGAAGAAACCAAGACGGACGCTTCCTGGCTCTTTCAATGATCCGCTTGCCTTCATCTTTTTCTGTGGGCTTTTCTCCATCATAAAGGACAACAGTCTCTACAGTAGGAGTATTAAATGGTCCTCCTTCCTTTTTACCTATTTCCATCCGTATCAGTCGAGTTTCTGCTTTGACCTTTGCATAACAATAGCCACAAAGGACATGCTTCTGTTTCAAGTTTCCACACTCAGGGCAAACATCTATGTTCCTCTGAAAAAGACAGTGGAAAACAGTAAATTTAGTAATTCCAACAACAACAACAGAAGAAACAGGGAACGATCACAAACTACTACAAAGGTTAAACAAAATGTCAGAGAAATTAAATTGCCTTTTCAAAATTTATTCTTCTATGTATTCTGCAATGCATTGTTACATCAAATGCTTACTAATAAAACCAGACTATGAAGTCAACACCTAAATCATTATACCTATTGATGTTTGTAAGACTAAAGACCTATGGAATCAACTAGATGTACAGAAAGTACAAACCTTTTCCATTTATACTAGCTCTCTAGCTAAAATTCACAGTTTGTTGGCTTGAACCTAAAATGTCACTTTTTATTTAAGCACAGGCTACAGCCACACATGATGAATGCATTTGTTATCAAGTATTTCGAAGATTACAATGTTTTTTAAACTTATTCATAAACAAATTCCAGAAAGCTTTTTTGTTCAGTACTGATCACTATGACTCTTTAAAATAACTGAGATGAAAAATGATCAGCTTATTCCAGCATGCTTGCTTGCCATTAACAAAATAACTTGCAGCGAAAAAAGTGGCAAGGCCATGGAAATTTGGTGGTTACCTTTACTTTTATAAGCTTATTGGGATTTCTTCGCCTGCAGCGGTTCACTTCGATGGTGCGTCTTTTCTTTGGCGCCCCCATCCACAAGATGCTCTCCAAGAAGCTGGGCGCCTCATCGCTTTCCCTAGCGTCGCTTACCGGCTCTGGAACAAAAGCTGGAGCTTGGACAGCTAGCGCTGGTCCTGAAAGAAAAAAAAAAAAAGCGGTAATTCAAAGCGGTAATTCCTTCCACCCAAGGCCCGTTTTCGCGTGCAGCCGCGGAAATCCGACGCGGGTGCTGCTCCCGCCCCGCTCCCTCACAACGGCTCCGGCCCCCTCCCCGCGTCACTCCGCAGCACAAACGGGTCCCGCAGCCCCGACGCCGCCTCCTCCCTCAGCCGGGAGGGGAGCAGGCGGGCA